TCCCTCTTCCAAAAGGGGTGTCCCAGCTTTTCCAACAGAATGAGGAAACTTAAGGTAATTTTGTATTTGTGCACTTTCACGTGAGGTCTTTTCACTTTCCTCGTTTGTAGGCACAATTTGTCTTTCATGCCGCATTGGCTGTGTTTGGACTCCTGCAGTCATTTGCAATATTGAAAACGCTTAGGAATGCAGACATTTGATTCATTTATTGTAAAAATGATTGGATTTCCATGGGAAAGATGAGCAGAAAACGTCCCGGACACGTCCATAGGTGAGACCGTCCTTCCCAGAAGAGAGAGAACCCGTCACCGTCTCAACACGTTCGCAGACGGTTTAACCTGCGAAGAGACAACAATTCCCTTCAGCAGAAGCTCGTTGAGTGATTCGTTAGTTAAGTTGAAATCGAGAGGATTCAGGGAGCGACTGCATAGGCACTTTGGCCAAGTAATGTCCTTACCGCTGCTGCTGCTGCTCGAACCGGATCCCGAACCGCTGCTGGACCCAGAGCCACTGCTAGAACTCGATCCACTCCTCGGTTTCGCGTGCCCTGCATTGGATTCCAATATTTCATGAATATAATTCAACTTAAAAGTACCTTTTCCTTTTAGCCAAACATGTACAGACAGATCTCGATCGTGATTCCCACAACCCTCCCAATTTGATCGAGATGCCCACAACCCTCCCGATATTTGCGTTGCTATATACTGTACACTAATCTAAGCAGCGTGCAAGCATGGGAAGGCAGCAGTTGTAGTGCGATCAAGGACTTGGCCAAAGTGACTATGAGACTGTATCCCTTCCTGATGCAGTATCAATCGATCATACCACGTCACAATTGATCTAATCCTCTTCTTCGGGATCGACCGGGAGCGGTTCGATTATCTGAAACCGCTTCCGCTACTCCCTTTTCCAGAACCACTTCCACTGTGGTCCGAATCTTTTCCGTGTCCCGAACCACTACCACTATGTCCTGAGCCACTGCCGCTGTGACCAGAACCGCTGGCACTGCGACCGGAGCCACTACCACTGCGGCCGAAGCCACTGCCGCTGTGACCGGAGCCACTGCCGCTGTGGCCGGAGCCGCTGCCACTGTGGCCAGAACCGCTGCCACTGCGACCGGAGCCACTACCACTGTGGCCGGATCCGCTGCCACTGTGGCCGGAGCCACTGCCGCTGCGGTCTGGTCCACTGGAACTGGCACTGTGCTTTGACCTCCTCCTACTGGGAAGGTACTGGGAGCCACTGGCGAAGCTATGTCCACTCCCGCTGTATGCCTTCTGCTTCTTTTTCCCGTTCTTCTTCTTCTTCTTCTTTCCCTTCTTCTTCAGTTTCTTTGACCTCTTCTTCCTCTTCTTTTCCCCCTTCTTGAACTGTTCCTTCTTATTCTTCTTCTTGAACTTCTTCTTCTTCTCCTTCTTCGTCACGTGGTGAGAGCCCTTCTTGTACTGCTTTTTCTTCCCAAATTTCTTCGTGACATTGGCGCCCTGGAAAGAGAAAATGTATTTATCTGTACTACCCGCTAAATTGTCTTGAAGTCGTGAAGTCGAGGAATAATTTTTCACCTTGTACTTTTCGCCCTTAAAGTCCTTTCCTTCCTTTCCTTTCTTGACCTTATGCTTCTTATCCTCCGCCTCAAACTTCTTATGGAGTTTGTAGTCGTCGTAGTAGCGCTTATAATGCCCGTATTCTTCCTTGTGGTAGACGTTCTTAAAACCCTGTCGTAGATGGAAATCAAACCTCAAAATCTCTATCGGAAACTGATTTTTTAAGAAGCTGAAAAATCTTTTTTTTGTACATCTTTTATTATTTTTTTCTTTCTTCAAAGTCTCTGCTTTCTTTTCGATTCTCGGTTTTACCTTAATTTTTTTAAAATTCATTTTCTTTAGAAATTAGAGATGCTAGACAAACCTTTTTTGAGTATCCTTTGTTGTGATGCCCGTGGACGGAGAAGGACTTTTTCTTCTCCGCATCCGTGGCCACGTGATCTGATCCATGTATCTTGGTCTTGCTATTGTGTCCTTTGTGACTTTCACCCTTCGTGGACACATAGCCCTGTTCCTGCTCCTTCCCACGCTTGCCCTGCTCGACTGTTTCAGAGCCGGCATTGCTATGGTGGCTCTTTTCCTCTTTATTGCCACCGCTCTTCTCCAAAACTGATCCTGATGGACGATTACGTCTCAACGTCCAGGCGTGCATGATTTCGTGCATGCTCATGCAGCAGGGGTGGGGGGTCACGTTGAAAAAAGCTCATGCAAGAGACCATACTATAGAGTACCTCTTTGGACGCACAGTTCTATTGTACTACGGGAAAGTGCAGTTTCCCATGAAAGGGAGAGGAGGTCGACGCTCTGGTGCATCCCATTGTCCGAAGCGAAAGTGAGTCACTATTGATTAACTTGGATTTGTGATAATTCAGTGATGCAAGGGTTGCAAAATCGCTTTTTACCTGATGCTGCAGCGGGGACCAGATCAGAGGCCACAGGTTGAGTCTCAGAGGCCACAGGTAGAGCCTCGGAGGCCAGAGGTTGGGCCTCGAGCCCCTGGTACTCCGGAGCAGATGCCGTCTTCAGAAGTCCATAGATATTTCTGGGATGGGTCATGTTATAATCTTCTTGGTCTCCCTTGACGAGAACGATGCAAACCATTCCCGCCAGGAGGAGGCCAACCTGAGAGAAAGAGAACATCAAACAAATTATAAACGAGCCCTGTGCGAGGTGGAAGCCCGGCTTGGTACGTTGTAATAGGCGAAGTCATCATGAGGATCATGATGGAGTTAGCTTTTCCTCTCGCTGTCTGGTTTTGATGGCCCTTCCAAACTTCGGATCTGCAAGAACTTCACGTTTAAGTAATAGGAATTCGGTCAAACCAGCTTGGTGCCGCAGTTGTGTTTACAAAATCCTTAAGTGGCATGTCGTTTTTCCACAGCAAAAAAACTTGTCGCTTGTTCTTACAAATAAATATTGTGGACATGTTTGCAGTCGTTTGACCTTTCATGGGAAAAAGATCTTTCGTTAGCAGTGTCTGATTCCGTTCTTTCATAGATTTTAAAGGAAGAACCTGTATTTTTGTGCGGAAAACACGGATATGCTATTCATTCGCCCCATTAAATTACTTATTTGAATTTTTTTTAAAAGGGAGGTATGAATAATTCTTGCCGTCTGCCCACATTAAATGCATGCGTATAAGGATTCTAAGTACTTTGCTGCTGAAGGCCTACAACAGGGGCAGAACTTTGTTTCAGGTCGATGTTGTAGCCGTCTACGATGTTTGCAACTTGACCCCCACAATAAAGCTGAAACTTTACGGGAGCCAGCTGAAGAAACCTCTAATTGGGGCTTCCAAAAGTTCCTTCTGATGAATGACAATAAACTCAAGTAAGGTAAGGGAGACTTACGAGGACTCGAGACATGACGAAGGAGCGTGGGGAAGTGGGGATTGAAGCTGAGAGGCTTTCACTTGGACTGCTCCGACGAGACTGGTCTCGAGTCTCCGCGCTGGGGGTTTTATACCGTCCGGTTGCATCTTTCCATTGTTCTTCTTCCCTCAGTTCGTCTCCCGTCCAGCGGAACGGGTCAAAGTCTATCGATAGCATTTGATCCCGGAGAAAGGTCCCATGTGAACCCCTTGCTTGGGGTTCGTTTGTCTCGGGTCGACGAATCGGGCAAAAGAAGACATTCACTTCCTTGTCCTTTTTGCGCATTTTGGTCCCGTTCGAAAGCATGAAGAGACCGGCAGCCAGAGAATGGAGGACGACGTCGCTTTCCTTCGTTGGAAGGTGACGTTTACAAAGCTTTTCTCTTTCTGGTGTTCTTGTCATTAGAATCACGGAAAACAACCAAGCATGGCTTTCGGGTAGCCCGTAGAGAGCTTTGTTTACGTCGATGCGTCGATGTATAGTTAAAAATTGCACGCTCAGAATATCGTAGACAGATCTCCAAAATCGTTAAAACATTGCTCTCCAAAAACCAGGAAATACATTTTCATGCTAAAATATCGCCCCACCAACCCGGAAGATTTTCACTCTCCGCGATAGCTTATTCTCTCATCTGTGAAATCAACCGCTAATGGAGTGAAATGCGCCGTCGGTTCCCCGAATTCGTCTCGGAATCCGTGTGGGCCGACGTTCCACGCTGCTAAATGCCAAAAATAACACTCGAATGAATTTCTAAGGAAATGACTACTTATGGAAGGCTAAGTTCCGGTGCCTCCCTTGCTGAATTGCTACTGGATTTCATAGTTTTAAGTTTTAACATTCCGAAGAGAATTTCGAGGAAAATAATGGCATATTTCATACCGAGTGTTATGAAGACTAACCTTGAGAATTACTTTCACTTGGATTTTAAATCTTCCTGGTTGTTGCTCCAAGCGTCAGGAAATTTGAGCAAAACGACTAGTTGCAATGCTTTGAGATGGCAGTATGAAAGAAAAAGGAAAATTTTATTTTGAACCCCTCTCCACATGCGAATCACTCTCAACTTATGTGTGTAGTTTCCATACGAAGTGACTCCGACTTCGTTATTGAATTAGCCAGGCTCCATTATTGTGGAATTCGTATTCTCGCAAGACTTCGCGATTACTTCACGCTGTATAAAAATTCGGCCAACTCATAGAGGCATTTTGCAGAGGACATGTGTTCGTTTTCGAATGGCTCATTTCTCCATTGTGTACATTTTATAGAATGGTGCCATGACGCGGTTCTCCAAGTTCTCTTCCCTTGCCATTTGGGTCATACTGATACTCTAACAATTGACAAGGGAGAACGAATCCATGATCCCGACCGCACCGCCGTCCCACTGTATTTCGCTTTTTTGAAATCCCATGCTAGAGATCGATCGTAGAGATGGGCGCCCATCCCGAGGGACTGCGATACACTTGATGCCCATGCCAAGCAGACACCATTTTCCTCCGTGTACGGCTAATTGAAGCACGCCCGTTGTCGTGTGTCCGTCGCATGTCTCGAAAAAAACAAAACATTTATTGACTCGGAAAATAGTGTTTTCGTACCGATGGGGATGAGGAATGGAGACAAATAAAGGTTCGTAAGAGAACAAGGAGATGTAACACGCTCTACAAAAACGTATATTTCCTCAAAGCTTCATTCGAGTTGAGGGCAGACGGCGAAAACGGCCTTGGTAACCTTCCCTTCTGCCAGATCCTTGAGACAAGCTCGAAAATCTGCCAACTTGTATTCCTTCAGCCCGAAACGCTCCGGGGTCAGAACCCTGTAAAAAAAAAAAATTCATGTTTACCATCGACTTTTGGCGATCGGACTCGAGAAAGATTCTGGACGCTTGTAGACGTACCCGGATCTGCTCATGGCATCGAGGAGCCCCACGGCTTTCCCATACGTGAAGGGATTCACCTGAGCTCCGATGATCCGCAGTCCTTTCGTGGTCATGTCGAGAAGACGGAGTCTATGTGGAGACGATACGGAAGATTTTCATTTTAGTTGAGATAAAATTTAGAGACATTATGTCTCTGATCGATGGATGATCATAAGACAGCAATGATGAAAACAGCAACAAATCAACGTGATACTTATCAGAGTATTTGCAAAGTAACTTGAAGCTTTAATTCCATGCATTTTTCCTCGATGAAATACAATTCTCAAGTATGAACCAAGAGAGTGTGGGGCGGGGGGCAGTTTCTTCTCCAGGCGAAATGTGAAAGAGCTGTCAACATCATTTGCCATAGTATTACCTATTTATTCAAATTATGAATAATACTTCAAGTTAGCAGACTAACCATGTGCAGTTTAAATCATATCCAGATTAATCTATGCATACGCGTTTTTTAATAATCCTGAAAATGAAACTTGAAAGACTGCCAGTTAAAAATACTTCTTAATACGTAAATAATGCTTTTTCTGAGCATTTAATAGTACAAAATACATTTTAAGAAACCATAAAATCACCATTCACAATAGGCCGAGGAGCAGCAAGACAGTACAACCTAATGCGAACAGAAGAGGGAGGACAGGCGAAAAGAACGATGACTGCACCCTTGCTCGTTCTGTTCAGTGCATCTTCCACGGCTTGGGGGATCCCGCAGCAGTCCACGACCAAATCGAAGTTCTCGCCAGACAACGATCCCGGCTCCACGGCCTCTTCCACGAAACCTATTTTGCAACGAAGTGGATTTTTTTCCCCGTACGGAATGACGACCGCGACGAAACGTACCCGAATTCCTGGCCTGGTTCAGTCTGAACGCAGAAACGTCGGTGAGAGCGATGCTCCGCAGCCCCTCGTGTTTCAGCACCGCCGCCCACAACATCCCCACGATCCCTCCCCCCAAGACGAGGATCTTGGAGTCCGGGTCGAGCCTCCCCACCAGCTCCCGACCGTGGTACACGCACGAGAGGGTCTCGGCCAGGAATCCTTCCGAATACGATCCGTCGCCGAAGCACGAAATCCACAGTGTTTTTCTCGATCGGTGGAAACGAGAGATTCGGGACGAGACGAACCCATTCTGAGGGGAAGGGAAAAGGGCAAAGGATGGACCATGGATTCCTTCGCCCGGACGAATTCCGCCCAGCCTCCGTTCACGTGGATCCCGATCGCATTCGCGTTGCGAGTGGGGCAGAAGTGTGGTTTTCCTCTGGAACAGGGTTTGCACTTCTCTCCGCATCCCCTGAGAATGACAACTTCAACTTCAGTATTTTAACACGTTGACGACCAGCCTATTTTTGTTTGTCCGCCGCGTGGGACCACGCGCATTTTTTTTGTCAAAAAATGCGTCTCATTTCTCTCACCTCAGCTACACCTCGTTGAGCCCCCCCCCCCCCACGCACTGTGACGTCAGATTTATATTTCCCAGGAGCAAAAAAAAAGCCAGGAGAGATTAGTACCTGTTGGGGTCGACAGCCACTCGTTCCCCCACCACGAGCGTGGTGACCCCCGACCCGATCTCCTTCACGACTCCGCTGATCTCGTGACCCAAAATGTGACTGTCGTGAGACATGTCCCCGTCTCCCTGCGAGACGAACCGGGAGTCGACGGAACGATCGAAATCGAAACGGAGACGACGAAAAGCCGGAATCCTCACGTGGAGGCCGTGTCGGTCCGTGCCGCAAAGGCCGCAATAAGCGACGCGGACGATCACGTCGTCCTCCTCTTCCAGCGTCGGCCTCGGAACCCTCTGGAAGGAAAGCCCCCGCTCGGGACCGTCGAAAACTAACGCCTCCATCCGCATGGGTGACATCCTGGGGATGGGCGACCTGGAGGTTCGGTGCGTCGATTCCGACGAGATGTGGGGATGGCGAAACGAGCGACTAAATTTCACGTACTTAAGCTGAACGGTGTGTGCTGCCGAATCTCGCACGTCTCCTACGGACGAAACTGCTTCGTTCACCGTCGGCTTTCGACACGTAAAGATGCAATTCGAAACTATGAACGGTCGGTCGAGCCATGCATCGAGAAGTCGACCTTGAATGCCATTGCTTACAGGCTTCGGGCGTCTGGCGTCTGGTTTGCTTCCACGAGTCATCGAAGAGACAAGGGAGAGGGAGAGTGAGAAGGGGAAAAAAAACTCTCGCGAGCCCGTACGAGCTGAGAGATTTCCCCCCTATTGAGGACTTTTCTAACGAGTGGACGCGCATGAAACAGCTGTTCGAGGGTGAAAATTCGAAGAGGAATCCCTGCCGCCTCCAATCCACTTGCGCACGTCCGTGCTGTCCTGCGGTCCCCTCGCATGCCAAGGCGGCCGCTCTGTTTGCGATCGGGATGTGCGTCGACGACAAAGCCAGCTTCACGGTGCCCGGAGAAAGTCTTCCCTATAAAGATCCGAATGAAAGGGGCAGAATTTAATTGTGCGGCTGTCGCGTCGCGTGACATCTCGGTGCGTCCCACGTCGTCCTCGACACCCCCTGCCCTCATGAGTTTCGTGCCTCCTGCCCTCATGAGCTTCGCGCCGTCTGCCATCATCTTAGGATGAAGAGTGCAATAGTCCTTGCTTCGGATTGATTGCCGTCATCTCTGCGAGATTCCAATCTCTTCTCGCATCTGCCGCGTTCACGCGACGAAAGCCGATGAAAGACCGTCTATGCTGGCTGCTTCGTCACGACCGTAGGGTCATTTCACAGACGAGCAGAAAATCCAAGTAATTTTTTTTACTACACTTTCCCCGCCACGCGACTCATTTGTGGGACAAGGAATCCTCGATCGTTCGACGCCCGGATGAAGGAGCCGTCTCCTTCGACCGGTCTATCATTTTTTCTAAATGACTCGTTTTGTCTGCATCTAGCCTCCGGTTTAAATCGGAGTGAAAGAAATCAATTTCAACTCAATGTACAATATTTTACACGCACACAAACCCACACACCCACCCACACCCACACACACACACACACACACCCACACACACACACCCACACCCACACACACACACACACCCACACACACACCCACACACACACACCCACACCCACACACACACACACACACACACACACACCCACATCCACACACACACTCGATCTTACACCTCAGATTATCTCTGTGCAAAAAAGTCCCAGGAAAATTTAAAAACCGTCCCTGCGAATTGGAATTTTCCCCCAACTCTAGATTTAGGAGGAGGTAGTCGCATTTTCCAAGTAAAATTAGTCGCATTTTTAGGAAAAACCATTAAAAACAATCCCCCTTCACGAGAAGACCACTCTTTATATCCACTCAGCTCGTGTGGGATTTTCCTCGATAAGTTCCCGCACTCACCCGTGATGACTCGGAACGACGGCGATTCATTCGCCATCGTTCTTCTATTATGGAAACCTCTATTTACTCGAGTAAATACCAGATGGCAGGGCTGCAGCTCACTCATTTCATAATCCATAATTTTACCTGTAACTATTGACCTCTTGCACCAATTGGATCGAGCCCATGGACATTTTTATTTTGCGACTCGACGTCTATCCGATCATGACGTCATGGGGCATCCATGACGTCAGGAGACGCGATTGGCTATTTTTATCTCCAGTTGTGGAATTAAGTTTTTCGTGGAAATAAGGGAAACGGTACATCGGAGCAAATTTAGTCTTCGGAAGAATAAATCGGACGCTTAGGAATCGGCGAGAAAATTTTCAGAGCTCCACATTCGACGATGCTAGAGCATTAACAGACGCGCGACGAAGTGCGATTCTCTGCAGTAGTCCATTTCTTTTTCAAATGTGACGCGTGGAACCTTCGGATTGCCTCGCTCCGTGAGCCCTCGGATTATCTCACTCGAACGACTCGACTCTCGCGGGAACATAACAGCGCGAGACGAGGCGAGCTTCGGTCCTTTCGTTCTCGGTCCCCGCGTGAAAAGAGGCTGCGTCACGCTCTGGTCACGCTTACGTGACGTTACGCCTGCAGTCGCCTGCAGTCAGCGATTCTGTGTCGTACGTCACTTTTTTTCACGTCTTTGGCGAATCTTCGATTCGCGCGTGGGAATGGTGCACGGTCTCGACGGTCTCTCTATTCCCCCGAAGCCGGATTTTTTTTCCCTCGAATTTGCTTGCCGATCCGAGCCGCATTTTCGGCAAAAAGTGCGCCTCTATCGCATCGACCTCGATCGCGAGTCATAAATGACGAATGAGATCGGGGAAACTCTTTTCGGCGGCGCGATTGGCACGTGGTCCGCGACGGATACCGTTTCCTATCGTCCAATAAATCCTCCAAACCGCAGAAATGGAAAAACAGGTGCGATTTTTTTTAAATAACCGATAATTACCTCTTTTTTTTCTAAATGTCTAATATCCATCCCAGCCGAAGCTTTCAATATTATGATGATCCTATCCACGAATAAGATATTCAAATTACCCATTTATTATATGCTTCACCATTTTAGTTTCTCACCCCCTTTTCCCCCCATGATAACTGCAATAAAATACGCGAGAAGCCACCTCGAGAAGCGAAACAATGTGGCCACCCCGAGAAGTGCAACAATGTGGCCACCCCGAGAAGAGAAAGAAAGCTTTCGCGTCCTGAAAAGTTCGCGGAAAGGCGGAAAACTCCTCCGTCCCCCCCGTTGCACGATCCCCGACATAATAATTAGATAACATAATAATTCAGCAAAAAAGGAATCGGAATGGCCTTTCCCAACCGAATCGCACCGACGCCCTGCCTCGAAACGCGAAATTTAAAAGCCACCAACTCGAAATACTTGGAAAATACGTAAAACCTATGTATATTTATATATGTTGTAAATATTTGCAATTACCAGTTGCACTTTTGGAAAAGAGAAGCTGCTAAATTTCAGTCACGAATTGAAGTCACGTTTTGTTGCTCGAGTCAAGACCTTTTCTTCTCAGACTCTCATGAATGAAAAACCGACTCGAATCACAAATAACTTCTCTTCTAAACGGTGTAAAAGCAAATATTCTCGTGCAGAATGAGGACGAAGACCTCGCGAGGCCCTCCATCTTCGTTTTTTTGTGTGTTTTTTTTTTATCACGGAAGGGAAATCTAACCCCGTTCCGGCGGGGCTTTTTCCCGCGAAAAAAATTCTGCGAAAAAAAGTGTTAAAAAATTTTTCTGCTGTTTGTTGTTTCAAAAACGGAAATTGGGAATTATAGTGGATCGGATTCAGAAAAATTACGATGAAAATCGGAAGCGATTTCAGCACGGTTCGCAGTGGAGACACAGATTCTTTCGTGAATCCCCGTCGAGAACTCGAAAGGCGAAAACTGAAGTGGACGGTGCGACCGCTGGTGACACCTCGCGGAGGGCGGAGGAAGGAGGGACGCAGCGTCACTGGCTAGATGGCGGTGGTCGTCGCGGCTCTCGCTTTCATCCGAGGGGATTTCGTGGCAATTTGCTCCCGGTGATTCCATCCGATGCCGCATGTAATAATTAACGGGGAAGGTAAAAGACGGAATCGGCTTATCGGCGGTGATTGCTCTCCGATTTCCCCTCGGATGCGGGGAATCCCGAGGGAATTCCGCGGGGAATCGAGAGGGAATTCCACGATGGGGTCGCGACGGGTTGGAAATAAAGATGAAAAGGCGACTGTCTCCAATTATTCGCGTCGGTGAACCGAGAGCATTTAATTGCGTCGCCCTTTGCCAACTGCTCAATACGGATTGCAAAAACCATTTCCCGGGATTTACTGGAGTGTGGCAGGCCAGGAAATGGAGACCAATTCCACGAGATTCGCCGTTCGAGCGAAGTCTATTCTATTTTTCCGTCCTGCTTTTCTCGTCCGTCGCGTTTCTCTCTCTTATTTTCGTTCCTGGCTTGGGGGATTGCAGTCCTCGATTTTCGCTCCGAGTTTTCTCGGATATTTTTGTTTTTGTAGTCGAGACGAGCGATTCGCAGGTTGTCGGATCGAGCGGTGAAGAATCGCAATTTCAGTGCGACTCCATGAACGCCGTCGCCGTCTTCGCCGTCGCCGTTTTCGCGGTCACTGTTTTCGCCGTCACCGCCTCGCTGAATGCGTCCGGTTTCGTTTCTGTCTTAAATGCGCATTTTCCGATCGATCTGGCGACTCGGACCGATTTGCAGCACTGCGGTGAATGCGAATCGCGCGAACGCCGCGAATCGCAGAGTGAAAACTCGCAACCGACGACGAACGCGGAACATGTTTTCGATCGTTCCTCTCGTTCTCCCGGGAGCCGGAAAATCCGGGAGAAGATCCTCGGAGTGGAAGGAAAAAGGCGTGACTCAGTGCACGTGCCGAACCTCTAAAAGATCATTATATTCGGATTCAGGACCTGAAATTTCTGCCCGTTGTGTCTGCCTTG